AATTTTTTACAGTGCATTAGCTCTAATTTAATTTGATCTGTTAAAAAAAAGGATATACATTTGTACTTTTTAAACACTGAACACATATGTGAACTAACACACATACACACACACAGAACACAAAAACCAGTCGTATGAAACAAACAACTAGCCACAACTGACTTTGCATTTTCCTCAGAGAAGATACACAACATCTACTGACACCAGTGGTTCAGTGTCTTAAAGCCAAATTAGCCAACTGAAAGGAAATCAACAAATATTTATCTGGAATCCATTACACTCAAAGCTCTCAAGCCAAGTGTTTTGCCATAATAATTAGGCAGGAACAACAGGACAACTACCTTCTCATCTTGTCTCCAAATCAAAGGGTGAAACTTTAGACGCTTGATAAAGATAAAATGTTTCTGCTAACTCTGACTGTGTGCATGAAAAGTGCTTGGTAATAATATCTTCCAAAGCTCCTGTTTGACTCGGGTCCTACAACTGGCCATATTCTACTCTTTAGGAACGAAAATAAAATCCAGTAAACATGTCGGCAGTGGCCTATTTCAGTTACTAGGGTGAACCATATAAATTAAGAAATCCAAATACCATCTTTGAATGGCTAGTTATTTCAGGACAGCAAAAGAGTTTAATGTTTCAGGTATAATGAACCTCAACAATGCTTTTAAAAACTGTAACACTACAGAATACAGAGCCTCAGGCCATAAAAACAGAATTTCCAAGAAAGGTTTAGTATAAAAACAATCAGATTTTGCAGTAAGGTGCCCCTTACATTATATCTCTGAAATAATGTAGATCATGCTGCCCTCTTGTGCCAGATGTAGAAAATAAAACAAATTTCGTCCGCACAAGGGAAACAAAATCTGGGTTTTCAACAGAAATCATCTCTGAATTTCTAAACGACTTACTGTTGACCTGCGATTTGTGTTCCCTGAGTATGAAGATCTGATGCAAGTGAAAGTTGGCTTCAGAGACAGAAGACAAAGGTTGGCTAGGAAGATGTGGACATGACAAACAGTACAGGAACGTGGCCCACATGCCCAAAAGGTACTATTCAAACCCAGCTGCAATCAAAAACATGCAAGAAATGTCTGCTCAGGCTCCTGAAAACTTGTAGCTCTTTAGTAAACACACACAGGAATTGCGACTTCCCTGGTGGCCAAGTGGTTAAGAATCCACCTTCCAGAGCAGGGCGGCGTGGCTTCGGTGCCTGATCAGGGAACTAAGATCCCATGGTACAGCAAAAAAAAAAAGTTTTTATAAATAGGTACACATTAAAAATAAATAAACATAATCCATTCATTAAAAATACAACCTCAAAAAAAAACTTAATGAGGCTTCCCTGGTGGCGCAGAGGTTAAGAGTGCGCCTTGCAATGTAGGGGACATTGGTTTGATCCCTGGTCCAGGAAGATCCCACATGCCTCGGAGCTACCAAGCCGTGGGCTGAAACTCCTGAGCCCAGGCTTAATCATCTGTGTTCCACAACAAGAGAAGCCACTGCAAAAAGAAGCCTGTGCAACACAAGGAAGAGGAGTCCCCACACGGCGTAACTAGAGAAAGCCCACAAGCAGTGACAAAGACCCAGCACAGCCAAAAAATAACTAAATTAATAAAATCAATTTTTTAAAAAAATTTAAGAACTAAATAAGTCGACACACAATACCATTACCAACGGGCATCCCAGGTGGTACCAAAAGACTCAGGAGAAGTGGGTTCGATCCATGGGTCAGGGGGATCCCCTGGAGAAGAGCATGGCAGCCCACTCCAGTATTCCTGCCTGGAGAATCCCATGGACAGAGGAGCCTGGCGGGTTACAGTTCATAGGGTTGCGCAGAGTCGGACAGGACTGAAGCGACTTAGCACTCACACACCATTACCAAAATACATCAAAGGAAGAAAGTGAAACAGAGAGATGGATGAGATAACGGGAGGTAAAAGGAAGAGAAAAGGGAAAAATGAAACCTAGTTTTGCCATTTTAAGGCCACACACAGATTATAAAACACCAGTAGGCAATGAAGCATCACATTATTTGAACAAAGTAAAGCATGTGCATCAAAACATAGGTTCAAAATAGAGAGCAGCTACAGGAACCTGCTGGAATATTAAACTGTAGGCAGAGAAACCATGCACTTTCAAGGCTGACACTTTCTTCCTTCATAGAATGCAATAAACATAAATGAAAGTAAGTGAACTTGCAACTTCGGTAGAGCAACGGGTGTTTTCAACAACTTCCCATGGAACCCTGGTTCTTAACACAACCAGTGCAGAGTCCCCCAGTGTCTAACAAAATTCATCAAGATCTGGGATGAAGCATCAGAATGGAAACGGAACATTTCGAGTGGGCCCACCAATGAATGAATGTAAAACGCATTGCGACCATCCAGTTCAGAGTCATTAAGAACCTACTGGCACAAGTGGGCTTGGAGACAAGTAGAAACAAGGGAACTCTGGTGAGATGAGTGCAAATCCAGTCAGACTGGGGAAGGCACAGGCCCGATGGGCCTCTGTCTGAGTTTCCAACTTCACCATCCCAGGCCCAAAGTCCTTCCTTTCATCACTTTTCTAACTCTGGGAGGCTATCAAGATCCTGAAATCACAGGAAATGTATTGACCCCCTAGGATATCCTGGAGAGAGACACACTTCATGATCCCTATGTGCTACATGGGAAACAGACTCTGGAAATCAAATCACCCACAATTTCATGCTGGGAACTTTGTTGAATTAAACCCAGATATTTAAGGTAACTTAGAAGTTGAGGGCCTTCCTGGCAGTCCAGGGGTTGAAACTTTGTCTTCCAACACAGCGGTTGTGGGTTTGATCCCTGATCAGAGAGCCAAGATCCCACATGCCAAGAAAAAAAATCAAAACATAAGCAGAAAGTTGGGCAAGCCGGTCTCTCTGCTGTAGAAGGGGATTCTTTTTTAATATTATAACTATTAGGGCACACATAATCAATAATCTCAACTATAAAGCATAATTCTCACACATTACTTGTTTTTCCAAAGAAGAACAAGATAAAACAAGTATAAAAAAGTACAAAAAATTTTTATTCAAATTTAAAACTCATCATTTTTTCATTAAAAAAAATTTTTACTCTACTAACAAAAGACTAAATAAAAAAATCTTGGCTCCTAAACCTTTTGGGCAAGGCAGGCCTGTCTTTGCAGTACTATTTGGGCTTCTATTTTCTTGAAGGAATCAGATCCTGTTAATAGTCACAGGACAGGGAGACAAGACACACCACCTTAGTGTGCCGGCTGCAGTAAGGTGAGTGACTTTGAAGATTTACGCTTGGGCCCGAACCCTTGAATAATTAATTAACCAGCATCTGGAGAAGCCTACAGGGGCTCTTGATGCTTCCAACGTTATGACTACAATTTTCACATTAACTGAAAAGTGGAGCAACACCACAACCATAACAGCACGGACTCCTCCAGTTACTCTGTCTCCACAGCTTTATAATAAGACAAGATCTGTGTCGGGCTCTGCAGCTTACCATCCTGAGCTCCACCCAGTGCCTGGATGAAACATGTGCTGGACAAATCTACACAAGATGCTGCACGGAACAGCCTCATTTAATCCGCACAACAGTGACACAGGAAGGGCAGCAGTTATTCCCATTTCACAGGAGACAAAGTGCCCACATAGCATGTGGTCATTGACTCTAAGAATCATAAGGCCCTGACTTCGATCTAAACGCTGTGAATGTACTCACCTGCTTAATTCTAACAGTATCAACATTTTGGCACGTGTGAGAACACCAACCCCATTTTCCAGATAAAACTGAGATGCACAGTAACCAACATATAAGTACTAATTAAAATTTGACCATTAGTAACTAGCACCAGGATAGAACCCAGGCAGTTGGCTCCAGAGACCACACTTGAAAACCATGACAGACAATATCCTGCCTTGAGATCTGCCTTCTCGTTAGATCTACCTTGCCTTGGCCTTGGTCACAAGGCTAGTTGATGGCCAGGCCAAGGCTACTTCTGTCCTCTCTGCAGCCTGCCTCAACAGGTCCTGTCAATCATCACCTGCAAAAACAAAGTCACCTCAGGCCTCAGCACAAGTCTAGTCAACTAGACAGAGTGGACACATCCATTGATGAACTACCTATTCATGAAAACATAGCTCAGGAGGCTACACTCTGAAGTAAGACAGGTCGAAGGCCTCAAGGTGGAGTAAGCAAACACTGGGAAACCTCCCAGGACACTCATACTGAGAAACTTACCACTGAGCATCCACCTGCTACGTACGTACCACAAAGCTTCTTACATGTTACCAAAACTCCACTATATATAAGCTATACAGTTATTTTAATTGAAGAGGATATCTACATTAAATTAATCTTGGATGTTAATTATTCATTACCATTTTAGGTAAATCTCATACTCACGGCACAAGCCAAAACTCTATGATCCTAGACATGCATGGGCAATGAAAAGAAATAACCACATAGCTTGTCTTGAGTAGAGATTCAGTGTAACAAGGTTTGAGTAGAGACCTACCTAAAGTATGTAACACAGCCTATGTTTTAGCAACAAGCACAAAATATGTAAATATATTTGCATTAAATGTACAGTTTCATTTGCCACACAAATCAGCTCTTAAATCATTCTGCAAAGTGAGCATACATTTATATTTCCACACTCATATAAAATTGGAATGAAAGTTTATATGCCCTTATATTCAGATATACCCTGGTGGAGGAAAAATATCAGTAAAGTTTTTTTGTAGAAAAGAGAGATTTTCTTCCAAGCAATTCAAGTATCAAAAGGAATCAGGCATTGGCAGGGAATGGATACATGTATATGTGTGGCTGAATTCCTTCACTGTTCACCTGAAATTATCACAACACTGTTAATTGGCTATATCCCAATACAAAATGCTTTGGTGTTAAAAAGAATTAAAACTTTAAAAAAAAGGAATCGGGTATTAATTAAGTACGATATTAAGACACACTCACTGAAAAATGTGGTGTCTGACCTACCTATTGGATTTCTATCGAAGAACAATACTGGAGCTCTCAAAATGGACTCGAACATCTGGTTGTGCAAAGTTTGTGAAGAACTAACAAGAACGAAGAACACCAAGAGCGATCTGGCGACGCCAAATAGGACAGTAGATGCAGTTAACCCTGAAACAAAGAAACATCATTAAGCCCAAGATCTCTGCCTTTGATTCAAGAATGCTAAGCCATGCCAAGCAGCTTATAAAGATATTATATCCTTACCCCATCAAGAATCTGGATTCTAGAAGAGTTTAACTCATTCATGAAATACATTTTAAAAAGAAGAAAACAAAAAACACTGTTTTCCTCTCATTAAATATAAACTTCATGAGGGGGAAAGAAATGAAGTGTAAAATACAATTTCATTCCAGTATTTCCTAATTCAATTATAAGTTTCAATAAAACTCAGAAGAATTTTTAAAAGTTGTTGGTCTTCTCTTCTTCACATTTCAATTCTTAACAATTATAACGTCTCATAATCTAAAATGGTGAAAGGCTTTGGTATCGGCATGTTAATGAATAGGAAACACAAGAAATGATTTACTATCATGTCCTTATAGACAAACCTAAGTGGCTTTAAAGAGTATAAAAATACCACACAAATTTATAAGCAAAAAATCTAACTGAACTGTAGGAAAATACGAATTATAAATATAAATGAACATCAGCATTTAAATTACATTTTGTTAATGATAGAAATGAGTACTGCTATGCATATAAAAATTAGAATACCCTCCCCCAAAATCTTTTGAACTCACAATGCTAAACAGAGGGGGGATAACTTCTGTAATAAATATTCCATTAAGTACTTTATTCCCTTCTGAGGAGACACTTAAGTTCTGAAATTTAAATTTCAGTATTTAAATTCTGAAAGCTATTCAAATTCCTGGGTTCCATCAATAGGCATTTGCCTTAGCCCATCATCCTATATGAATATATAACATAAACCCCTCCTTCCTCCTTTAAGTCCCCATACTCCACCAATTCAGACGGTAAATAGCTAATGGATTTAGAGTTCTTAGCAAGAGATCAACAAAATACATAGAAAATTTCAATGAGTCGGTTCTTACAAAGATAACTCACTCTATCTTTGCAGAAAGCTTGTATATTTCCTGTGTGAATATTTAAAATTTTAGATGAGGATTTCCTTTTAAAAGGATGCAATGCCACGTATATTCCAGGCACTGGTGTGAAAACAAAGAGCTGTGTTGATATTAGTAGGCAAGCCAGATGTTAAATTAATCTCACAGTTATGGACATAATAACACTGTGATCTCAGGAAAGAAGGAAAAGGAACCCTAATGCCCAGACACTGGATTTCTCCCTGCTTAGTTTCTGCCTTAGGTAATTACTAAAGCCCAAGAGATGAGCAGTGTGGTGAAGGAGAGTTTGCATACCTGCGAGGCAGTACTGCTTTTATTTGGGACCCTGGCTGCCAGAAGATTTCAACCAAGGTCAATAAAAGCCAAGTTTCATTCAGAAAGAATTGGAACAATCTGAACCATAAGGTGGGGATCCGTTTCTAATCCCCTCACACATCCATAAAATGATATACGATTTAGCTAAAGCAACCTATTAGAATAGACAATAGTCACATATTTCCAGTGGCTGATTTTCTCAATATGCAATCCTGGTTTAACTTCCAAAATCCAGTACAGAGCAAATTAAGAGTCTTCATTCAACCTCTTTTCTTCTAGCAGATTTTTAAAATAATTATTCTAATTAATTCACAAAATAAATGCAACTGGCTCAGAAACTTAATCTGTTAAGACATTACTGAATTACTCCTGGGCGCCCTAGTTGCTCACATGGGCTCATTGTAAGCGACTCAGACTCTCGGATAATAGACCAGATGACTCAACTTTACCTGAGTAAATTCCTAAGTACCAGTTCAGATCGAGCTTCTCGGTTACATTTCCTTGTCCATTAACAGTGACGTTCAGGGCACTCTGTTGATTGGCCCTAGGGAACAGGGAGGAAAAAAAAATTCAACATTGATACAATTAAGTAAATACAAAAAAAAAAAAAATCCTTGATTTAGGAGACATGATTTATGCTGCAAAGTGTTTCCTAGCTCACAGGGCCCCACGTTTCTCTACCTTAAAAAGATTTCCCTTTGAATCACGACTTTCAGCTCTCTCAACTGTCTGTGAGGAAGCTGCCAAGGACCATGGGAGGGTCACATGCCACCAGCAGGATCTTTACATTTTCTTCAGGGAAACTACATGAGGGTCAGAAGAGGAGGCTGAACAAGCCCCCTCTCCCCCTGACTCTGTGGGAAAGTGAGGTTCGTGTAGCCTTCACAGCACTGTGGGTCAGAGCAGGAATCACTCACCAGTATGAAAGCCACCAGTCCTGCAGGACGTAGGCGACCTGGAGCAGGAAACACAGTCACTCAGACGCTGACGTCACTGAGCCTCACACCCCACCCACCCACCGCTCACAGGATGGGGGAGGGGAAGACTCCAGGACACGGAGACGGTCCTTCCCGCTCAGGTCTGCGCCAAGCCCCACACCCCGATGACCACAGCTCAGGGGAGGGCATGCTACATTTTAATATCTCTAAAAGACATTGTGTATTTCTAGAATCTCTCTGTCACGTACACACAACACTAGCAAGCTTCACTTATTTTGCTATGCACATATAACACTTTTCAATGTAAATCCAAGTGGACTGTAAAACACAGTATTTATATAAATGTCAGGATTCTGCAAAGGATAAAAGCTTGATAGGTACTGTGATGGCCAGTTTTCTGTGTCAGTTTGGCCATACCAGTCTCCACTGGTTCAACAAAACACTAGTTCAGATGTTACTGTGAAGGTATTTTCTGGGTGTGGTTCACGGCCATTATCAGAACTTACAGGACAGCACCCCTCAACACTGCGGCGGCCTTGTCCAGTCAAACGAAGATCTTAAGAGCAAAACCTGAGGCTTCTTGAAGGAGGAAGAAATTCTGCCTCAAGACAGCAGGGTCAGCTCCTGCCTGAGGTTCCAGCCTGTAGGCCTGCCTTTCTGATTTCAGATTGACTCAGACAGATCCCACAACCTCATGAGCCAATTATTTGAAATAAATCTCTTAATTCACATATTAAAAAAAATAATAATAATACAGTAAGGTAAACATAGTATAAATAGTATTAAAAATATCAACCTTAGGGCACAAATCAAAATAAAAATTGTTCCTTTGCAGCTTATTTCTGTTTAATCAAATAAACAACAGGGTTTTTTTCCATGGAAAAAAATAAAATAAAAATCCTTACTTACCTGAGCTGCAAGGTTTACTAGAATGAGGAAAATGATGATAAACCAGTGAGCACCGGCTGTAAAGTAATTCTTATAAGCCTTAAAACCAACTTTTCCTTCCGAACGGGTCTCCTCAGTTAGGGTAACCTGTACATTCTCGGTCTTGAAAGGAAAGGAAAAAAGAGACAAAAATTTGAATAATGAACCCTAAATCAATAATAACCTCCACTGCAAAGCTGTGGTGAAATAGACACAACTCATATGCTGGTAGGAAGGCAAGATCCTACAGAGAGAGGAGTGTGGAAACACGGAGCCAAACCATGCATGCATTTACCCAGCCATGCCAATTCTAGAAATCTATCAGAAATAAGGAAATGTCATCTGCAAAACGTTACTCATTTTCAGGTGCCTTTGCTTAAATAAACAGCATGATTAACAGTGCACGTACAAAATATCTGATTAAAGCATAAATGCAGATGCTTTCTCCAAAATAATACACGAAATGATATATAACCAAAGTATCCATGTAATTTATTTGTGCCCCTCAATGACAACAGAGTGGTTCCCGAGTGTGGAAGGTGAGGACTGAATTCTCGCCAGAATCATCCAGAATCCCGGGTATGGACACTGAGAGTCTGGATACTGAGAAAACTGCTAGATGATCTTAAAGGAGACTTGTGCATTTGTCCACTTCTGTCTGTAGAATTTAGAATATATTATACAGTCACATGGGCCAAGGGTTCCCAGGGCTCTATGCTGCCTACTGTATATGCGAGATGACAACATATGTTTCTACATCTTGAACAGTAAGGAAGATGGGAACAAATTCCAAAGTGTCTGCTGTGTGTCGCGTGCTTTGCACCTTTGTGACAGAGATGTCCTGGCACAGACCATCTGATGATGAAGCAAAACAAGACTGTCCATCACCTGCAATGTCAGAATATTCCAACATAAAGCAAAAGCAGCTGATTTAATGGAAGTCATAGCAGGCTAGGAATGAAGGATGCTTCAAGTTAACCATCCGGATGAATAAGGGAAGCCGGGGTCCACCAGAGCACATATAATTAACTATGGTAACATCAAGAGTTCCACTGTCAATACCACATACGTCATGCATATGTGTCATAGCAGTACAACCAGGACTTGTCTCCATCCTACACCAAGCCGAATCAGGCTGGCTCCCTGCATGCTGTTTTAATTCTACCAATGCCACGGAACAAGGTCGTGTAAATTTGGTGTCCTCTTTGGAACAAAGAGATGTCATAAACGGAGCAGACTGAAGGTCCATGAGGCCACCAAGAGCGACAGACCCGGGCGTGCTGCAGGATGAGAAACTCACTTCTTGGCCCTCCGGAGTGGCCTCTTTCAAGGAGGGTCTGGAAGACTGTTGAGACCAAACTGAAGACTCGGAAAAGGTGCGATTCCTCAGGGTGGGAGTTCCTGGAACCGGAGATGGTTCAGCCTCCTCATTCTCCTTCTTTAAAAGGGAACCAAAATCTATCCCAGATTTCAGGAACTCAGTGTAAGTCCCCTTTTGCACCATTTTGCCCTAAAACAGCAATAAAGAATTTGAGAGATTGTAGTTAAGGTATCTAATCATTTATGATATCTATCTTCTTTGTGAATTGTACCTTCTATCATTAAAAATATGCATCATTTCATTTCAAACAAATAATTTAAAAAAATTTGACAGGAATGGATTTTCATTTGATAATACTAACCAACTGTGCATACATGCATGTTATGCATGCTAAAGCACTTTAATCATGTCCGACTCTTTGCTACCCTATGGACTGAATAGCCCACCAGGCTCCTCCATCCATGGGATTCTTCAGGCAAGTATACTGGAGTGGGTTGCTGTTTCCTCCTCCAGGGGATCTTTCCCCCCTAAGAATCAAACCTGCGTCCTGTCTCCTGCATTGGCAGGCAGGCTCTGTACAACTAAGCGCCACCTAGGAAACTAATGGTAAATACTAATCAAGAGAAGTAAACTGATAGTAAATTATGAAAATGATCCAGAGGTCTGAATTTCTGGTGGACAAATCTAGTTCAGTTCAACTAGAACAGAAGTGAGTACTGTGCTCTCTGCCAAACCCTGTGTAAGGTTTGGGGACGTGAACGAAATGTGTGCTCATGTGTTAAAGATGGAGTCCATTGGGCACTTAGGAAAGCAAGAAATACAGAGTTTGGTGGGACGATCAGCACAGTCTCTTAAGACAACATGGAAAGAAGCCTCATGAGACAAGCAGAAATTTTTAAAAAGTCCACTGGGGAGGATATTCCAGGAAAGAAATCTATTGACACAGAGGTGGGCACTAGCATACCTGTGTAGGTATGGGTCACTAGACAAGTCTTTGCTGACCACTGCCACATTACCACATGTCTGACTAGGACAGGGCATGAAGAAACTGACCCTGCACAGAGAACCCAAAAGCTGTGTCTTCATGGTCTTTTAACACCTCCCCACAAACTCAGGAAGTTCGACTGAAAATTCAGTATTCCCCCGGAAAAATTACCTAAGCAAGGAGGTCATAAGACTGGGATGCTCTAATGCCTTGGTATGCCACAATAAAAAATTTAAGCCAGGACCAAAGCACTTAAATCCGAGGATTACATAGGCACAACCCATCACAAGCGGCCCATCTTCCCCAAATTAGGCAACTGCTTAAGCAACAGCCTGTCCACTCTTCTTTGAACACTGTGTGACACATCACTGCAGTGTCCCTCATTTACAAAGTTACATAAAATAAGCTGCAGAAGATTTCTATTCTTTCACCATGTGAAACAAGACTCAGCTGATTCACTCAGTGGTGAAAAAAATATTAGGAAAAATCCCAGGATGCAAAATGAAACAAAGGAGGGTTAAATGAAACAAAGGTTAAGGCAAGTCAGGTGGCCCAGCATCCTGGCAAGGCCCCCCTCTCCAGGAGAAACCCAGTGAAACCTTCGGGTACCATTTGATACTGCAGAACAAGGAAATTATTCAGGATATACTGTATCTTGTCCTTGCCTGGGAGACGAAGTGCATCTACCTCATTTAAGGAAAGTTGCAAACAACTTTCTACTTAGTAAGGTGCATACAGAAACCACTAGAGGCACAAAGACAGCAATTTTACTCAACAACCAAATATTAACAATTCCGGGGGGCAGCCATCCCCTCTCTGCTGTGAGGGAGGAATCAGAACAACTGTAAGGACAGTCCCCAACTCATCAGGTGTGCTCACCAGTAGACAACTGATCGTTCTGACATTATTGAGTTGGCCAAAAAGTTCACTTGGTGAGTGAATATATTCTTCAATAAAGTTCTTGGTGACAATGAAAAATAAGTCTTTTATTGTTGCTTAAAATTGATCAAACTTTTTGGCCAACTCAATACTAAAACTGAGGTTGTATTCTCAAAACAAGTCCCATGTAGGCAGGGCCTTATTCTCCTTCTGCACAGGCTCCCACACATATCAGACACAGAAAGAGATCTGGGGAGTTAAAAAGAAGGCAAAAAACTGAAGGCTAAGAGGGCTTTGCCACAAATCCAAGCAGACTGACCTGCAGGGCAGCCTGGCCTTCAACACACCGCAGTGCTAGCAATTCCAGAGACTTCTAGAAATTACTTACATCTTTTAATATCAGAATCTGACTTGCAGCTTTTAGGTACTGCAACTGATGAGTCACTAAGATTCTGATCTTCTCATGCAAGGCTTGACAAATACACCTACAAATGGAAAAGGGACAGTATGCAAAAACACATTAGTAGAAGTCAGCCAAACTGCAAGCGTACATTTTTTTATTTTTTTTCAAGCGTACATTTTGAAAACATAATGAGACAAAGATAAGACAGCAAAGATCTGTAGTTCAAATACCAATATGAATAAAAATACAAATTAGAAATACAAATGGAAAAATCCAACTAGGACTTCAAATTATTCAGAAACAAGTCTGAATCAAGCGCCACTAAAAAAAAATTCTAAAAACCAGTCTAGTGAAACATATATCAGCTGTTGTTTTTCCTAAAACCGATCTTAACAATTATTTACATATTTCATGATGAAAAACAATGGAGCAATAGTGACATTTCAAAAGTTGACTAAATTAAAATACCAATTATTTTATTATGTTGAGAATGCGAGAACAGTGATTGATGTCACATAAATATACATACATTTTCCTTAGTTTCTTAGATGTTGCTTTATGATGTACACATTAACCACCCTAAAAAAGTTATACATTCTCAGTAACCTTAGCCTACTCCCTCCCATAGACATTTCTTCCTACGCAACATTAGACGGAAAGTGGGGCCTTTTTAGAAAGTGCAAGTGGAGACTTTTTAGTCTCTGCCACATTCCCAGTACTGCCCAGGAAGTAAATCTTACTTCATTTGCACTGAAAACTCTCTCAATGTGAAAATGAAAAATTACAGGGCCCCGGTGACCACAGGCAAGACTTTAGGCAGGTACTCTGGGAGCCCGAGGCCCTTGCAGAGCAAATCTCAAGAGCCTGGGCCAGAGTTCAGCCTGTGGGTGAGTCAGATGGAGAGTCTGGAGGCAGCAGGCTGCAGCTCAGGCCCTCTCATGAGACTGATGACATCAGACAAGCAACTGAACCTCAGTTTCTTCATCTCAGAACGTCAATGACAACTCATATCCATGTGTTCTGAAAAATCAAACCACCAATCTACTCAACAAATGTCAGCTTTATTTTCCACTCCTCCCTAACCACAAGTGGTCATGTGCTTTGGACTCAGGACAGAAAAGTCCTAAGGGGACACTCTGGACAGTGGCTCTGGAATCAGAAGACCGGGGATATAGACACACACACCATCACTTCATTAAAAGTTCAGAAAGACTCATTTTTTACCTTCTGACAAGTCTTAGCTCAGCTTTTGTACTAAATATCTTGACCAAGCATATACCCTTTCAGTTTTCAATGCAGTTTTCTGCTAAATTTAAAAATTACCTGCTATTAATCATTGAAGGCAGATGGGCTGGTAGGTCCAAGTTGGCACTAACCGAAAGTTTTAAAAGGTTTCCTTCCTGACATTTCATCACAGATGAGGTAAAACAAATAAGTACAATAAAGTGATCAGTTTTGATGGCTAAGAATGTATTCCCAACAAGACTTTTATTCTGAATCTCTAGAGAAATAATCTTCCACGTTTTTGAGAGTAAAGATTTCTAAGACATACCATAAAAATTGACTCAGCAATGAATTCTTTAATATTATTCCTATATGAGGGCTGTGTTAAGAAGGGACAAATCCCATAGCAGAGTAGATCAAATATGAACAAAAAAAGAGTCCCTATCTTCATTCATTCAATCAACAAACTTTGGTGAGGTACCAGGCACTGTCCCAAATGCCTCTTGCCACAGGTCAAGACAGCAAATAATTCTCTGCACTGCATACAGGGGGACACTGAATGAGTATGGGAAATGTACTATGCGGCTGTGATGTGTGCTCTGAAGGGAAAGCAAGAGGGACTTGCTGTCTTAGATGGGGAAACAACGGAGCCCTGAGACTATCTGGGGAAACATCCCGGAAGAACACACAGCAGGTGCAGGGGTCCTGGGACTGAACACGCTGAGGCTGAGGTGCCTTCCTGCATTCACAGCACATGGAGGGGGGGGTAGCTCATAAATGGTTAAGTGCACCCACTGAGGGCTGTGGGAAGACAGAGGGCACGCGCGCCCCCTAGAGGAACATGAGGGAATGGCAGGGCCCATCTTCCGCCTTCTGTGTCCTGGGGCACTGCTCCTTGGCTCTGAGACAGAGGGGCAAGTGTGAACAGACAGACAGGGTGAGAAAGGACCCGCGCAGAGCCAGCACAGCTGGACACCGAGTGGGTGTGGGGAAGAGCTGGAAAGGCTGAGGGGGGCAGCGAGCAAAGAAGCCTGTTCTCTGAGGGCCCGGAGCTGCTTCCTTAACAGGCTGGGGTGGGGGTGGGGTTGTCTGTGAAGGGCTGGAGCAGGAGGGTGAGCTGTGTAGACAGCAGCACGAGAATCCGATCAGGACAGACCTGATGACACAGGAGACAGGGGTCTGGTGATGTGGGGTTGGAACACATCCGGATCCACAGCAGGACACAGCTAGGACTGCATCAGTTCATCTAAGGCCCCTCACCTTCTGTAACTGATAGAACCCACTATGCTCACAGCATGAAGTTGTAAAACTCATGAACCTTCATCACCTTGGATACAGATTCAAGACTAGAGGAAACTGTTAATGGCAAGGAGAAGTATGATTCACTGGCGTTTAATAGAAAACGCTCCCCATTACTAAGCTTTGACACGACCACCATCTCTCAGAGCATAATGTTCCATCCAATTTTCTAACTCGTTGAGAGCATCCTCAGTTGCTGCTGAGTGATTTCCTAAATTGCATTCCTGCTCCCTGCCCCAAGTTTCCCCAGAGAATGTGGTTCTGATTAGCAAACAACAATCCAAACAAGCTCGCTTCTATCAAGTGTACATGCAAGGTCATTAAACCCAAGAGCTATTAAAAAACTGCTCTGTTTGAAGGAGAACTTTTGAGAACTTCTGTGATAAGTACAAGAGGAATGGACAGTTTGAACTGCCACTGATTTCAGGAGTGGGAGAGGGGAAACGAAGCTTACAGCACTCACAACCTGTTGCCAAACCCATGACAAGGCACTTCTCTACGGGAAAATTCATCAGGTCACAATCAGGAGACGGTGGGAAAGCCAGATGAGACCACACAGCTGGAAGCAATGCCACATGCCCTGCTCTCCTGCTGTGAACAATTTAATGCTTCTTTGCACTTTTTAGCATGGTGGTGGTGGTGGTTTAGTCACTATGTCGTCGTGTCTGACTCTTGCGACCCCACGGACTATAGCCTGCCAGGCTCCTCTGTCCAAGGGATCCTCCAGGCAAGAAGAATACTGGAGAATACTGGTTGCTGTTTCCTTCTCCAAGGGATCTTCCCAAGCCAGGGATTGAACCCGGGCCTCCTGCATTGCAGGCAGACTCTCTACCTACTCAACTATAAGGGAAGTCCCTTTTTATTGTGGTAAATAAAACATGTCAGTACATAACATGAAATTTACCACTTTGCCTATGTTTAAGCACATAGCTCAGTGGTATTGAGCCCAATCATGCTGCTGTGTAACCATCACCACCTTCTGTCTCCAGAGTGCTTTCATCACCCCAACACTAAGCACAAGCTACACACAGACTTTGGTGGAACTGCCCCATGATCCTGCTTAGTGGGTGAGGAATCCCAGGTCCTCGAATCCAGAGCTCGGAGCTCCTCACAAGTCTCTCTGTCTCACATCTGCAGACTCTGCTGAAGCCTCTCTACTTTGCAGTTGTGGCTCTGTGTAAATCAATCATTTCCCCTCCAATTCAAATGCGGACACCTGAGAATTTGGTGATAAGGCCTTTGAAGACATAATTGTTACCTTTAAGGACACTAGGTCTAACCCAATCTGACTTGTATCTCCAGAAGAAAAGGAGCCTCACACAGAGGGGCACGGCCCATGAACAGAGGAAAGACCAGAGGAGGACACAGGAAGGTGGATTCTATCCGAGGCCAAGGAGACAGGTTCCTTAGAGGCAGGAATGAGAGCTGAGCATCCAAATCTTTTTCTGCCCAGTGTGGCTCCTTTCCCTCTCCTGGCTCACTGTCCTCCTTGTAAACTAAGAGGTTTTGTGCAGTAACATCTGTAAGGGCATTTAACTCAGTGCATACAGCAGGTTATTAGTAAGTGCAGCTGGAAGGCTCACTGGCTTTAACAAGGTGAACAGCAGCAAGGGAACTAACCGACCGAGGGGGAGATGCAGAGACTGTTTCAAAAAAGCGAGTGCATGAGGCTTTCAAAGAGGTCAGTCTAAACTCCACCAGAGGCCTCGGTTAGCATGACTTGGACACATTATACACAGAAAAACATCAGAGTTGTTCTATTTCAGAGGTTCAGTGGCCAAAGAAGAGCAGCAAATTCAACAACAAACAAGAACAACAAATTCCAGAAACACAACATAAGAGTCAGGAGTTCAGCCACATTCTAGATACCTGGTCTCACAATCAAGTTAAACATACATTGTGAATCTAAGTATCAACTCTAGTAAGAATCCATGAAGCAATGTGCAATGACTGAAGATATTCTGAGGTGCAACAAATCATTCTCAGGTTTTATACCTTATTCAGAATTTCTGAACCTACAGAATAATAAGCATCAACAACAAGGTCTTTCCACAGAAGCCCTATGTCAGTACTGAAAACATCACTTCTAACGTGTCTTTAAAAAAAAAGATGAAGGAAAAGGATTGGCAGCCAAGTACTAGATTACTAGTCCCACTCTCTGATTTAAAAACCGTACATTTTCCTTCTTATTTCTGGGGTCCGGATCCACCCACAGTGTCCAGTTATCAACTGCAAGTAGCAGGAGGAAATCGGCCATCTATTCCTCACTCCCTAAGGACAGATCCACCATCCTCCACACCCTAGAAGCACCTTCTGTATTTTCCCATCTTGACCTCATCATGATAAAAATTTCTCTATGATGGATCTTCTGTGGAATGACGGGAAGGGAGAAAGGGACACCAGGGCAGAGCCAGCTGAGTCTCTTGAAGCACAAAGGCTTTCCTGAGCTCTTTCCACTGATCTTTAATCAGTTCTAAGAAAGCAGAAGTAATAGGAAACAAACTCACAGTTCAAACAAGTGCCTGCTGACTTCTGCGTCCACTGCGCTGAGTGGATCATCTAGGAGGTAGATGTCTGCATCCTGATACACGGCTCTAGAAAACGTAGAGAGACGTCAGGAAAAAAACACTTCACACTCCCTGGGTCTCATCTCTGAATCACAATGGTGTCCAACAACTCCATATTCATTCCAGGAGCCCAGGGAAGGGACCACAGCCCTGCTTCACACAGGCCCACCCAGTGAGTGGGGTCTGCATGCTCATGTCCACTAGGAGTCGCGGAGGAGGAGGGGCAGGATGGCAACTGAAACCCCATTTACCTGGCTAGGTTGACCCGGGCTTTCTGCCCTCCACTCAGTGTGGTTCCCCGGTCTCCTATCATAGTTAGATCTCCATCCTCCAGAAGCTGTAAATCCTACATGGAAACAGAAAAGGGAAAAAAGAAAAAGATTTAAAATGTGTTCTCCTCCTGCCATCCTAACTTTTAGCCTTAGTTCTACATGTATTTTATGAACAGCAATGAGTATATTTCATAATGACTGGATTGTAATCTTGAATATTAAAAAAAACCTGATTTGTTTTGATTCCATAGGTTTTCACTGCATTTATGAATTTGACCATGATAACAAGGAGGTATTTACTGAGGACCGATTATACTGCAGGCATTGCTCTCGGCACAGTGAACCCAGCAACAAGGAAACAAAGTCCCTAGAGTCTCTTTCCCTGGTAGGAGACAGACGATATGGAAAATTAACCTGTGTGCAAGGACTAAGGGTGAGAAGGAAAAGGAAGCCAGCTCAGGGCAACAGAGAGTAAAGGAGAGAAGCGAGTCTACACTGGGGTCGGGAGGGCACGGCTCACAGAGTGGGTGTGAGCAGATCAGTGGGAGGTGGGGAGAGGTGCTTACATAGACAGCCTATAACTCAAGCGATGCTGCCATAGCAAGCAGAGTTCACAGAGTTTGTTATCCACTAAACCCCTGAGGCATCATCCTAAGACGCACACTGGTACTTTTCTGCAAATGAAGCCGGAGCTTCTCTGTACTTTAGCAAATTTGGGAAGAACAGAAATGGCACAGTGAAGCTCCCAGGATAAGCAGCTTTCTGACCTTCTAAGTCTCATCATCTTCTTCAAAATGTGCTGCAGAAACAAGAGTCACTAAACTCAAGGATGCTGTGAGAACCTAAAGTGTATGAACACCCTCCATAAATGGAAAAAGGACATGGATTGATTATAACTTGCTACTGGTGAATGAGGCTTACTTTCCCATCAAACCAACACTGGGACCCCATTCACTGTGTGGCTCACAGCATGTAAGGCACATGACCACAAGGAGAAGAAAGAGACTGTCTCCACCATCACCCTGATAGCCACAGGCACACACAGGTTCTCTGCTCACTTGAAGCTTAACAGGCTGCATCCAGTGAAAGGCAGCGATTGCTCTGTTGTGAAAATTCATCACTATTTCACTTTAATTCTTGCTTTTGATTTTTTGGAGCTACAATAAGGCAGTTTAAGATACATTCCCAACCCTGAACACGAACACACACACACAGTCACTGGTGACAGCACACGCGCGCGCGTACACACACACACACACACACACACACACACACACACACACACACACACACACACACACACACACACACACACACACAGTCACTGGTGACAGCCCCCGTTTTTAACGCCTAGATTTTACGTTGCTTTGGTTTCCTTCACAAAACAGCACCATGCTGTAGCATGGCAATCTCAATCATGCTCTAGAAAAGGCACTTAAATCCACTCTTCCATTTAGCACAGCTGGGCCCCAAGAAACAGGCTCTCTTTGAGGCCAGCAGCAGGACTGCGAGTATGTTGTTGACTCTGCAAACTATTTATGGGCCAGTCACAAATGGGAAAAGCATTTCACAGGACTTGAAGTAAAATCCAAGTCAGCCTAATTTCCAGCCACCATTTTCTGATTAGGTAAAAGGGGAAAACGTCTGAGTTCAGCATATAATACAATGTCTCCCACAGACAAGAAGTTTTTATTATTTATTTATTTTTTAACACCAATTCCCAATGAAGAGCAGACACACAAACTACAGGGCAACTAGGAAATGGCTCGCTGGTTTGATGCCATCAGCCAGGAGCACATGGAGGGCCCTTCAGGGATGCTGGCTTCTTAGTGCAGAAAACAGCACGGAGCAGACTGTTGAGTTTCTATCAGAGGAAGGCTGGATTCCAGAGTCAAAGCAGGAGGACCCTGACTTTCATCACACCTGTAACTCCATTTCGCTGATGGCAGAGCCCTACGATTTCCATTTTAAAGATGATGAAACTGAGGCCTTGTGAGGTTCAGAAAAGAAGCCAAAATCAACATGATTTTTTTCCCTCCTGAACAGAGAAACAAACTCGATCCCCGCGCCTTATGACTCCCAAGTCTTGTCGTTTAAGCTCGACCCCTCCAGTTGACCAAACATTATTAGCTTGTTCCCTGAATTGTGTTGTGTTAACTTACTATACTGTCACTTTGAATATGGCATCAGCTTAATTCCATGTTGCCAAATGTGATTACTTCATGTTTTATTACAGAAATGTTTTCAGCTCAATGAACTTAAAACGCTTGCTTCAATTAGATCTAGTTATCATGTGTCTAGTTGTTATTAATGCATGTGATACACGAAATGCTTTTTCCTGTTTTATCTTCCAGGTGTGGAGGAGAGGGGTCACCTATTAGAAATATTTTTGTTTGTCTGTATGTATATATTTAGTTTGTATGCATTTATTTACTGAAAAACTAGTAGGTTTCCATTTTACTAAAGTTATGATGCTTACTGCAATAAACCCTTACACTTCCCTTACTTTACAAGAAAGGAAACAGACGCCCCAAATTACAATCCAAGATGATGCTCTTCAGAGAACACACTTTTTCTTTTCCTACTACATATGTAGTCTGTCTCTACGAGTAAAAATACCCCCAGCGCACCTCTATTGTCTGTGACTGTCTTATGTCCATCCACTGAAACATGGATTCCAAAAGGAGATAAGCAGAGGCTGCAAAAACGCAATTAAGTGGTTCCTAGGTGTCGTGCAGACCTGGCTGACCCCTTGGTAATCAGAGTCATAACTGACATTTCAGAGCAGAAGCAAAACCTCTTGGAAACACTCTGACCCGATGTCCTCATTTTGCTGCAGAAACGTGAGATGCCCAGACAGGTAACAGGACGTGTCCAAAGTGACAGCAGTCAAGTGAGAAAATCAGGGGAGGGACTTGGCTCCCTTCCTGCCAAGGACGGAATGGGCATGAGGAGCCCTGCCTCTATGCTCTGACCACGCAGATAACAGGAGGGCAGCTGATGTTTATAAACGTCACATGACATACTTGTCACTGGGCAGCCCAGTCCTGCAGGGCTCCTTCCCAGAGTCTGTTACACATGCAGCCCCGAGGGTGTGTGAAGCCCCAGGACACTCCCCCACATCACGGGTCCGATCACCCCAAGAGGCTGCAGCAAAGCATTGACCATCCTGGATCTGAATCTGAACTACAGACGTAGACATGGGGTGTTTCACCTCTCCAAGCTTCAGTTTTATCAACAACATAGAAAACACTGGTAAAACATTAATAACTTTTTATGTATGCTTGCATGGGAATGACAGAGACAATTTGGACATCAACTCTGAATAAATGGGAGCTATTGTTCTTACTGGGACTTTCCAGGTGTCTCAGTGGTAAAGAAGCTGCCTGCCAATGCAGGAGACTCAAGATACGTGGGTTTGACCCCTAGGTCAGGATGATCCCCTGGAGGAGGAAATGAAAACCTGCTCCAGTACTCTAGATTGCCTAGAGAATCCCATGGACAGAGGAGCCTGGTGGGCTCAGTTCATTGGGTCACAAACAGTGAGGCATGACTGAGGAGACTCAGCACGCACTTAGGTGTTCTTACTAATTTACATTTGTATTTCCCCTTTCCTTATAATAGTTTTTTAAAAACCTACCTCAATCCTGCCAACCCGACATCATTTCTGCAAACAAAAAACCTATTTAAAACAACTCAGGAGAAAGAAATAGAAAAAAAAGAACAAGCAAACAATCCTCTTATGTCCACAAAATAATCAAATGCTACTCTATGATGTTCAAGCCACTGTTCAAGCAGAATAACTATTTCCTCACAGGTCTTCACCCCCACACCTTTGAAAGGCTTTCCATCCTTTTTCCTCACAATATAAAAGAATAGTTGGATGTCCAGACTACACTGAACTGACCCGGGGGAGCCCTTTAATGCTTTATTCCCTGATTTTTATAACCAAAGAAAATAACATGGCATCTAATCAGTATTTACCTTTTTCCCTTTCCTTCCAAATTATCAATATATTATCCTACTAGGTTAGCCCAGTTTGCATAACTAATTCCCTAATTTTATTTACTAAATCTCCATGTACAGTAAAATGTTTCAATTTCCATTTTCTGTGAAACACAATACCGTTTCTGAAAACAATCTCTCCTCCAGTGAATATAGGCTGTATTAAGAAGAAATGTTAAAGGAGTACTTTTTCTTTAATTACTAAGGAAAAGCAAAGTGGAGAGGAAAACCTAGAGACAGAAAGGGACCAAGGAGGCATCAACCAGGCGCAGGAGGCAGATCTCATGTGGAGTCCAACAATGGTGAATGAAGGAGGTTTCTCAGTGAGATGATCAACAACATGTAAGCATGATGAGAAAGCTGGTGACAGTCAGGAATTTGGGTTGTTTTTCAGGTGAAATAATGTGGTCTCTTTTCAGTCTCTGACAGAAAAACTAATGAAATATTTACTGATGAACTAATCTGAGGTCCAGAATCTGCTCCAGAATAGTCTGGGGTGGGGGTGGGGCAGGCAGAGGGCAGGAGTGGAGATGCAGCAAGACTGGCCACCATCTGATCCTGGGTGAACCCGGGGTGGGTACATGAGGGTTCATTACATAGTGCCATTTTTATGAAGTTTTCTAATTGTGCCCTAAAAGAGAAGTAGAAGTGAATGAAACTGCAAAAAGGTGAAACAATCCCCACCCCAAAAAAGGTATTGTGTTGTTACGACATCAGAATTCAAACAGTAGCATGTGTGTGTGCATGTTCGTGATAAAACCAGCTTCAAGTATTAAGCAACACTAAAAGATCTTCTAACAGATCTTGCAGCTTAAACCAACACAATTATCATTTGAAATCTGAGCATATGCAACTCAGAAGTCATTACTCACCTTTTTCAAAGCACAAGCCTTTATTACTTTTTCATATCGTTCCTTTTCATATTTCTTCCCAAATAAAATGTTACTCCTCACAGTTCCTGAGAACACCCAGGGCTGCTGAGAAACATATGCGATCCTCCCGTGCACGCTGACCTGTCCCTGGTTCAGGGGCAGCTCCCCCAGCACAGCGCTCAACAGTGAGGACTGAAACAGACAGCAACACACACATGTGAACAGGAAGCACTCAGGACAGAACACGCCCGGCAGCACAGCCGACCCCACCCTGGTGCTTGATACACGATAGAACCCTTTCATTTAGAACAGGACCAAGTACAGTTCTGGCAGTTGCAGGGGGAATAAAAAAAGAAATAACACTATTGATCAATATAAACTAATAAATGAATGTATTCAGTTGATAAGTAATGTTATTATTAATAAACACTAAAACAACCTAAACGGGTTTCCCTGGTGGCTCAGACAGTAAAGAGTCCACCTGCAATGCAGGAGACCTGGGTTCCATGCCTGGGTGGGGAAGATCCCCTGGAGGAGGGCATGGCAACCCACTCCAGTATTCTTGCCTGGAGAATCCCCATGGACGAAGGAACCTAGCGAGCTACAGTCCATGGGGTAGCAAAGAGTCAGACACGACTGAGTGACTAAGCATAGAATAACAACCTAAACTGCCCAATAGTTTCTCCCAAATGAAATGCTAAACTCAGCGAAGGCTAATTAAGAATGTTTAACACCCTGAACAAACAAAACAGCCCAGCAGGATGCGGTTCATGTATCTGATGTGTATCTGATACATGTGTATCATGTATCTGATACATGTATCTGATATCATGTATCTGATACATGTGTATCTGATGATTCAGCTCTTCCTGCACCTCAGGCATCCTTTACTTATCAAATATTTGTTCTTAAGTTTTCTGTGACTAACATATCCAAAGATGGTTATTTTTTTTTTCAAAACAACCTCTGGAGTCATGTTTCAAAAAAGTCCACCGTATAGCAACTCATCACCATCTCATGTACATATCCCTCATTTAGAAATCTGTGTTTTGTTCTTTCAGACTAGGTTCATATGCACATGTCATTCAAATCTTGTCTACCACATAGAAGTGGTGTGTCCATGTCCACACATCACAACACTGGGCTGAAATAATCTGTTTGCCCCGGAACCTGGTTGCCTCTGGAGGGCAGAGACGTTGGAATCTTGCTCTCATCTGTACCTTTAGCTCCAGCACATGGCTACACATTCACTACCCTGGGCACGGACGGGACCAAGTCATGTCATGGGAGGAAATGCTCAAAATTCCCAGAAGAGCCTTTCCAACCTCCAAAACTTCCTGGATGGACAACCGTCACAAAAAGAAGACCCCTCTATCTCATTCTGTCCTGAACAGCCGTCAGAACAATAATTTCCTTCACTGACACGTCAAGAGCCTGACAAGCAGTTTCCAAATGTGCAACGTGAAGCACCAAGAAGGAAAGCGGTGTGCATTCATCCAGATTTATCTGGCCACGAGACCGTCTTGAAAAACTAATGTTCCATGGAACACATCTAGAGAAAACACTGTTCTAGACACCCTCAATTCAAAGTGAATTATACACAGCTCCGGGCTCAACTCAGAATTTAACACGGGTTGTGGCGTTACATCAAGCTGGCAAAAGGCATCACAACTTACCTTTCCTGCTCCCACAGGTCCGACCACAGCTAACAGTTCACCAGGTCTGACAGTAAAGGAAAGGCCTTGTAGGGTTGGGGTGTCTGATGCCTGCAAATATAAGTTAAGAAAATTTTGTTCATCTCAATAAAATAACACAAAGAACTCTGAAAAGTGGAGAAAATAAGATATCATTGATATGCAAATATAACCCATATTTTCCTCCTTTCTGTGTTAAGATACTGAGCCTTGGGGGCCTTTTATCCCAAAATATCTTTGAAACAGCTTTTGTTTGCCTTTAGGAAGGCTCCTTCTTTTTACCAGATTTCCATACAAACACTGTTCCAGATGCTCACTGGATTTAAGGACTGAAATGACAAGTCACGTGTTCAATATGTACCTGCATTTTGCACACTAACTTACTACAATAATAACATACTTAATTGAATATCCAGTATGGGAGGTTTTTAAATCAATTGTGAATTTTCATTATAGCCTTTGGTTATGTCAACTTCAGTACTGTCCACAAGGTGGCAGAACACATACACCTCATGCCTGTTCCTCTACTAATAATTTGGTATCTCCTCTCACCTCTGTATTTTCACTTGGTAAAGAATGAGTCTTACTAATGCTCAGCAAGCAGCAGATCACTTTATATGATATAGTTGCTCTTGGTAAATAAAGTCGCATAAATGGTAGTCAAGGCTCCAATTTAACCAGAGCTGTAGTTTCACACCAAAAACAAAACAAAACCAAAAAAAGGGGAGGGAACTAGGTTTAACATCATGGGTCAGTAATAATGCCTCAATTTTATCTCTCTTACATGCTAAACAGAGAACAAAGCACCTCTACTGTAAAACCAAAACAAACCAGGGAGTTATGTGTGATGGTAAAGAATCCAACACAAAGGAGAAGAACAAAGTATTCATCATGCATCATTCAATCACAGGTCGTGTTCGTGAACAAACTTAAGGGTGCATATATGTGTCATTACATATACTGTATCCTTAACTGCTAATTTTTCTAAAAGTAGTTCAATGTGATTACATAAAATGTCCAAAGACTAATAAAAGATAATGTTCTAAATGTAAAATTTTCTGGAAAAAAACTCAACTGATGATATAGTCACTTACTAAAAAAAATAATTATATCATCAAAAAAATAATATATCATCAAAATAACTAGCCCTAGATTTTAAAAGAGACATCTTTTTACTCCTTTTTAACTGACCCCTGGATTCCGTAATTATTTTTCACTCAGAAATACTTATTTTCCTCTCACAACGGTTCATAATTCTGTGGATAAAATACACAAGCATAGCTTCCTGTTGCAACCCTTCACTGGGTCAGGGCAAAATTTATGGACTTCCTCTCTGTTCGGGCCTGAGGCTTTTCATTATTAAAATACTAGCCCCAGGTTTCACAGGAATTACAAAGAGCCTAGATTGTAATACATAAGAAACATTTTTAAAGCATCCTCCAATTCTTTACTCTTCTCTAACATTTAGGGCTTCTATTTTACTACTTTTCACTCAGCTAAGACGAAAAATAGTGAGCCACCCCTGTCACCAACCCTCAGTTTGTCAAGGCCAGACACTCAATTTCCGCCCTGTTCAGGCTTCAGGGTTGGGCACTGCTCTGCTGTGCCCAGAAGGGGGCAGCACTGCACTGCTCACTGCTGCTGGGTCCCCTCCCATCTTGGTTATCCAGGCTCAGGAGATGCTGGCTCAGAAGCATCAGCAGCAGCCCCACTCTAGTTCATGAGTGAGACCCGGATCCTGAGATATTCCCCCACCTGCCCTGCTGGTCAAGGAGGGGAGCAGGTTACAAAGCTCTTCCTCCAGCCTCCCAGCCCAGCAGGGGCTTCATTCAGACTTAGCTTCTTTCTAAATCTCCAATGTCAGTGTCCCTCCCCGCTCCCAAGGGCTCTCTCACCTATGACCCAACCTGACAGCCCCTAATTACTAATGACCCCAGCAAGGGACACATTCCTTCCACAGGCAAGGTCAGAAAGCTGTGATGTACTGTAATGCAAATTGCACAGAAGTATCAGAACATGATTAACGTCTTTGGACTAAGAGCAAAAGAGTTCATTTTAAGTTTGGAACAAGATAAATTTGGTAATGTTAGCATTTACATAGTAGCCCTTATAATGGAATTTTAATGCTGTTTTCCATAAATGCTTCAACTGTATTATGATGAGAAATACAAAAATAGGAGAGAAAATCTATAACATTAAGCAAGGAGCAACTATCAGGTTGGAAAAGTCATCTTGTGTGAATTTCCTGTGCAAAAGCTGTAGGGGTGTATTATTTATTTGGAAATATACGACCGTTCTGGAGGTGCAGAGGCAGGTACTGAATCTGAAGCAGTGGCACAATATGTAATGTCACAGGCAGGAAAACACATAAGTCTGCAGGGTCTAGACACTTGCACTGTGGTCCCCAGTGCCACCAGCAGAGAGGCTCTTCCACTGTCTGCAAGTAATTCCCTGCATGGAACTCCCTTCTCCTGGGCCATGTGTTCTATCTACCCTACTATCCTATGCTACCCCCTGATTAATTCCCTGATAGCTCAGTTGGTAAAGAATCTGCCTGCAATGCAGGAGACTCCGGTTGTTTCCAGGGTCAGGTAGAAAAGGTTGAGAAGGGACAGGCTACCCACTGCAGCATTCCTGGGCCTCCCTTGTGACTCAGCTGGTAAAGAGACTGCCTGCAATGCGGGAGACTTGGGATCAAACCCTGGGTTGGGAAGATCCCCTGAAGAAGGGAAAGGCTACCCACTCCAGTGTTCTGACCCAGAGAATTCCATGGATTGTATAGTCCATGGGGTCGCAAACAGTCAGACACAACTGAGTGACTTTCACTTTCACTTCCACACCAGTGCAGGGGAGGATGTGTACAGAAAACCATGGAACCATGGAGGTGGAAACTTTTAGTCACTGGTAAAGGGGGAGGCACTGCGTGTACAATTTTGAGAGTGGTCCTTGTTGCTTTTTCTGCTTGCTTTTTGTGAAAGTGCTCACTATGCCCACCTGCTGTCTCCTCCTGGCCCCTGGCTGCCAACAAACTAGCCGGAACCATGCAGAAGCTTAGGATGGGGGGGCCGCCACCCTAACTCACAGCAACTAACTCAGCAGTAAAGAATCTGCCTGCAATGCAAGAGACAAGTGTTCAACCCTGAGTCAGTAAGATCCCCTGGAGTAGGAAATGGCAACCCACTCCAGTATTCTTGTCTAAGAAATCCCATGGACAAAAGAGCCTGGAGAACTACAGTCCATGTGGTTGCAAAGAGTCAGACAGGGCAGAGCACGCAAGCATGGTCTTGCTAGGCTGCAATGATGGTCTGACAACATCAAGGCAAAAAATGTACACTGATTCCCAAAAACCTGCTGTCTTTAATGACTGGTTGTATATTTGTTGGTTAACCCGTATTACAACTGAGGCATTTTCTCTCCAATGTTGCAAATTCTACCATTACAAACATATGTACTTTAAGTTCCAAATGGGTTAATAGTTCTCTTGAGAGCCACACGTCAAATGTCTTAGGCTGATTTCACACTGAATCTCTATCACATGCAAACCTTACTCCTCACTGAGAATTTTTGATAACATACTTTCAGTAAATGAATAAGTCACATTTATGCCATATATAAAACCTCAATATTCTCCAAGAAACCTTTCAGCAGTCAAGATCTTGTAATAGAAGGTTTGCTACCTTATCCCAAAAAGCAGTGAAATCTTGCACATTCACGATCATTTTACCATCTGATGGTAGTTGCGAGTGGAACTGTGTTATCTCATCAAGTAACAGGAAGTTCTACAGAAGGAGGAAACACATAGATTAGATTATTTAAACTATAGGAACAAAGAATAAACAAAACGAATTGCTTCCTTAGAATCTTCAATAAAAAAAAATTTATGCAGCCTACATACTGCTATGCCAACTGTATGTAATATGTAGTTTACACTAGAACAAACCAGGTAACACATACAATATTATATACTATTATAGTAACATACAATGAAGTATATGTATATATACACACATATATACACATTATTATAATAGCATACAATAAACTATATTATATATATATATACACATTATTATAATAACATGCAACAAAGTATATTATAAATATATATACATACATGGAGCTTGTTCTGGGGAGAATTGTAAATCCCACTCAAAAAATATCATAAGGTCCTAACCCCAAATACTTCAAAACATGACTTTATTTGGAAATAGGGTTGTTGCAGATGTAATCAATTAAGGTGAGCTCACAGTGGATAGGGTGGGCACTGGACCCAATAAGATTGGTGTCCTTATAAGAAGAGAGACACAGAGACAGAAAATAACTATGTGATTATGGAGACAGAGGCTGGAGTGATGGCAGTTACAAGTCAAGGAGTTCCAAGGTTTGCCTGCAAATTCCTAAGCTAACAGAGGAGAGGCAGTGAGTTACCCTTGTAGGATTCAGGGGGATCCTGACTCTGCTGACACCTTGGTTCCAGACTTTTAGGCTCCAAGGCTGTGAAACAACATAATTCTGTGGTTTTAAGCCACCAAATTTGGGGTACTTTTTATGGCAGCTCCAGGAAATCCATCCAGAGACTTAAAAGGACTCTTGCATGAGAGGAAACACAAAATATCCTTGTAAGCAACTTGGGTAATTGTAAACAACTTGTAAGCAGGACGGGTAATTCTAGGAGCAAGAGGCAAACCGAATCCCCACCAACACAGGTGGCAACTGACAGAACATGTGAGGAAGTTTGAGAAACAGAACAACACGTGAGCAGGAACCTTCTCTCTGCTAAACTTCATGAACAGCCTTCAAGCCCTTGACATCCTCATCTACTGTGCCACAAAGCTACAACTGTGTTTGCACCTTCAGCTTCAAAAGAACAACTGGTAAAAACAACATAAAAACCTGCTTCTGTGCAGGAAAAGGAAGAAGAGATCCCTGCATCTCTCCAGAGACCAGCTGGTGGGGGTCACAATCCACTTGTTCCCTCCTCCTCTCATCCAGGCGCCCCGAGAACCTGGACACGGGGCACGGATACTCCTACCCGCCCCAAGCCTGTGTCCAGCAGGGGGAAGGACGGACAGACGGCGGTCTGGGCACTCCTCTGCGGACTCTCAACCACCGCAGCCTGAGTTCTCTCTCCACACCACCTCTCCCATCATCAGCCATGTACCAGCTCTTGCCTGTTCTGACACAGTTTATCTCTCTGCCAATTCTCTGTTCCTCTTGAAACAACATAATTTCAGCATCTCACTCGCTATAATTATTTCAAATACTGATATATCTTTTTTTTTTTTTGCTGGTTCTTTCCCCAGCCCTCCCCACCACCACTGACCCTACCTCAACACCACTCCCTCTTGATCTCTTTACAGCACGACTGAACGTGTCCACCACATTTAAATACCCACAATGTCCTACCAGCACCTAAGTCCACAGTCCCCAAGTGGCCGCTGCCTAGACACCCTGAGTACTAATCTCATCCAGCCTTCCAGTCCATCTCAAATGCTAATCCTCCTGGGAATCAGCTCAGAACCCTGGAGGCTGCTACCATCCTCCCCACCTTTGAAACCCCAGGGGGACAGTAAGTCATATAGAGAGGAGACATTATGTCATTCATGCACTTACACTGTCCAACTTCAACTAAGACTGAGCCCTGCACAAAGTCAGCCCATCATTGGCATTAGCTAAAGGAAGAGACTGTACCATGTAGTGGTTGCATGGATTTTACTGTCACTGACTGCATGGCTACAGCCTTACCCAGTCTGAGTTCACATAGCAGCAAGCAAAAGGTTGTACGTATATATTATCCAACTTGTCTAGACAGAAATTAAAATTTTAGCTTAAGCGTGTTACCAAAAAACTCAATATCCAGTGTGTGTATAGCCAACTAGAAATTCCTCACTTTCAAAAAAAACTGACTTAAAAAAAGGAAAAATTATGCCTTAAATGAAAAATTAAATTTATTGAGCATTTGTCCACACATAATAGGTCTGAGTGGGGAAAGACAGTATAATCTTCCAGAGGTTAAATGAGATTCCAACACATGACCAGCTTGTAAAGGAACCAAAAGTGCTGGCTGCATTTTTTTTCCCCAGGGCTCAGGCTGATGAAAAAGCTGGAATTAAGTGGCCATTAGAGCCATGAAGTGCAGACCCAGAACAGGTCAGGCAGAAAGTATCAACGTCAGAACTGCAGCCAAAAAGACAGACTTCCCAGTGGCTAGAAAGGGAAAACCTACATAGCTTTCTGAACAATATTAACCTCAGAGACATATTTCACTGGATATAAAAGACACTGAAGACTTTTGGTGCTTCTAAGTTAAGACAAGATATTTATAATCCTATTGCAGTAGCACAATGCCAAAACCTTCAGTCCACTTTTATTACTAAGAGAAAAATAAAGGGACCATTGCACCCTCTCCAAGGTGGGCAGGGGTGGTGGGTTTCCTTCCTAGGGCTCCCAGACATGACCTGAGCGGAAATCCTGGGCAATGACCACCCAGTCTATGGAGTCCCACCCTGCAATGGGGCAGTAGGACTCAATACCACACCTTGTTCTAAACTCTACATGCCCGCCATGCCTCCAGCCCACCTGTGATCAAACCTTGCTCAGTTCTGACCACTTGGGTCAGTAAACTCAGCTGACATTTTCTTCCACTCCTGCTGCCCTTTTTGCCTTCTAATTGGCCTTGAACACATCCAAGTGAGAGACAAGGAAGAGAAAAAAACAAGTTCTTGTTCTTCTCCTTCCAGGTGACTTGCCAGCCCTAAAACTCAAAGCACCTCGGGACTTGAAACACTCCCAGGGAGTCACCATCACTCTACCTGAAATGATGCTGGGCAGTGCAGGGCTGGCCGTGCATATACACAGAAGCCCTGGATCAGGGTAAACAAAAGTGCTGGGAGAGTGTCACGGGGCTGGAGGAGGTTCAGGAGCATTTGCTTAAATCAAAAACAGAGGAGAAGGTGACCCAGGGGGCCCAAACGAGTGAGCCAAGACATTCCACCATTCCACATGCCAGAAGGTACAAACAAGGTATTGGAACAGTGGTTTAAAAAAAAAAAAAGAAAGAAAGAAATCAGGCTTTGGGCAGAATCCTAGTTCTGTCATTTGAAAGCTGCGTGAGGATGGGTGAGCTATTTCACCTGTTACACAGGAACCTGTTTCCTTATCTGTAAAGTAGGGACATTAATGCTACTCTCAATTGCTGTCGAGATGAAGTTAGATGATGTGTACAAGGTTTAAGAGATCCTGGACCACACAGGGAGCCCTGCAGCAGCGATAACGAAACCACAGCAACACAACACACATGTGAAGCTTCCCTCTGGACAGGTCACCATGTCACTGAGAACATTACTATGGTCCAAATTCATTCCTAAGTGTTCTGCTTCAAGATGTGAAAGCAGAAAGAAATTTTATTGAACTGTATGGACCATTCCTTAACAGGGTTGCTAGCAGCCCCATCAGAAAGAAAGATAAACTCAGGGGACCAGACCTGACCTCACATGACTGATCTGTTTTCGGTGCAATGGTTTTTTTATACTACAGAAACTTCATAAAATATCTCAGCCTTTATGGCAAGACCAAAAAATAAAGTCAAAACCACAGCCAAAGCTAATTTCACTAGAGGTCTATTATTGGCCAACCATCACTATGGAGACATGGGAACAAAACAAATTAGATGTTTTATAAAGCCCAAACACTTAAGTTCATGCCCAGGCCACCTCACAGAGCCAATTCATCCTCATTTTTGACTGATTCATAAAAACATAAATCCTTAAATATCTACAGGGTCTTATCTTGGTGATGGAAATTATTCATCTCTGGCAATTTAAAGACACTTTTTAAATAGAGAGCGGGACAGATTGTGGGTATGTTGGAATCTCAAGTTTGAAAGGAAGAGGGCAGCTAGAGAGAATTAAGTAGTAACAGAAAAACGGCAGAGACAAAGAGGCAAATCAAAGGGGGAAGCTCATAAATCAAGTGAAACATCTATGGAGGAAAGAATCTATTTTAGATACAAAGAACTAAGTGAATCTGAGGCCACTATTCCTGCCTAAGGAGCAGGGACCTCTCAGCAAGTTCCTCCCCTCCCAGCCCAGAGAGGAATCCTATTCACACCAGGACTGAGCACGGTCACTACCTAGTCATTCGAGGGAGCACAGGAGATGCAATCTGTTTGCTGCTCCTCCTTTCAAACAACTTAATCATCCTGCAGTCATCAAGAGCCTGTACCCCTGCGACTCATACTACCGGCCGGCCGTAAGTGAGCAGAGATCATATCATATTTACAATGCACTCTGTATCAGAAGACAGGGGAGTGCCGAGACATTTCGGAATGACTGCCAGCCTTGGCACTAAGAAAAGTAAACCTCAGCTAACTGAAACACATTGACACCAAATAAAAAGAGGCCAAAAAAAGACATAAAATCCACCTACAACATAATAAAGTTAAGTGTTGGCAAACCTTGATCCTTCGGATGCTGACGAATGCCTCTGACGCCTTCTCGACGGCCGATGGGAAGAAGAGGGTGACTGTCAACCGCACAGCCCCGTACAGCGACACTGCCACAAACACACGGCTGGCTGTGATCACGTTGCCAAGGAGCACGTAGGTGGTGAAGGTGACGAAAACGATGATTTTGCTCGCAACAAAAAATGATGCCAAATTCATCCCTCTGAGGTAGGAACTTCTCAGAATCTTGGAAATTTCTTTCCTGGAAAAAAAAGTGTAGGAAATAGGTTTTAAAAGAAGCGTCGACATCCAAGATATGAATTCAGCGCCCCGTGTGAGTGGCCCCTTTCTAGGGAATGGACACAAATTAAGATGATCCATCCCTCACGGCCCGGAGATACTGCATACCAGGAAACATTTAACCAGAGGCTTCCTGTGTGCTATTTTGGATCTGTCAGGAACCCTCTGGTCCTTATTGATTCCTGAATATTCAGGAATTAAGAGGAGAGGCACGCCTTTCCGGGGGCTGAGGAATCCAGGCATTTCTCATTCCAGTGGCAAGTACCCTCTTCCTTTTTATGAGCCAAACGGTAAAAGGTGATAATTTGCAGCTCTCTCTCTTTGATAGGGATCATCTTATGCTTTGTAAGTCTGGAATTTTAATCTTTGTCTTTGCTGAGAATAACCACCTGGTAAGACAGTATATATGCCCACGCCATGTTGATTAAAACACCTTTGCTCCATCAGACCTTTGGTCCCCATATCTATCTTTCCTTCTTTCTCTCTCTCTCTCCTCTATTTCTGGCTAATTCCCTGTGCCTTCTCCCACTCGAGGGGGCGCCTGGTGCCCACGTGCAGCAGCGTGAGCCCTCAGAACAGGACTCTGTTGGCTTTCCGCGTAAACCAGGGGATGTCAGCCTCTTTCTCTTACTCTCGGAACCACCAGGTTCCGGTCCATTAAAGGACCAACAAGCGCTATCAGCCTCTTCCTCTCTCTTGCTTTCTTATTGTTGACTCCAGACCACCAGGTTCTGGTCCATTAAAGGACCAACAAGTGGCACCCAGATACAGGGACTCTGGTACAACACGGGTAAATCGGCTAGAAAGCCCCTCACTTTTCTACTTTACTTCAGCACTTATTTAAAGTTCAGGGATTTTCGGTTTCACGCCAGAGAATAGAGGCTTGCCTTCAGACAGTGGTTGAATGCAACCCTTGGTTCCCTAATGAAGGTAGTTCCGATAGATTTCTGGCCCCTATGGGCTCTCTCGTTGAAACTGTGATTCTGCAATTTCAAGGTAATTCTAGCCCTCCTGATATTTGGCAACAGGCAGAACACTTATTACATGAATATAAATTAGACGATGATACCTTACAAAAGGCCCAATTAGAACAACAAAAGATACTTCAAGATTTTCCTACTAACCCTGCCCCCGTTGCTCCAAGGGGTCCTCCCCTGCCAGAGGGCACATATCCCAATGTCTCTCCCTCAATAAAACCTAATGATTTTGACAAAGACTCCCCTAAGACAGCTTTTAACATTAAAACTGACAACACCTTTCTGAATAACAACAATCTACCTGCTTCCCGACTGAGGCTCTCTGAGTTGCTGGCTTTGCAATTGCAAGTCTCTGAAGCTGAAGGTTTCTCCGCCTTTCCAGTTGCCCTCCTTTGTTGCATGATCAATTAAAAACAGTGGCCCTTGAAGCTTGGGATCGAATTAGTCCTCAAGGGGAGCCTACAGGTAGCTACACTAAAATATTACAGGGACCTAATGAAAAGTATGCAGATTTCTTAGCTAGATTAGAAACTGCTATTTGCTAAAAGGCAACTAGAAAAATTACTTGCTTATGAAAATGCAAATCAGGAATGTCAAAGGGCTATAGCCCCAATTCGTGATACACAGACTATTTTGATTATTTGAAGGCTTGTCGCAATATAGAATCAAAAACTCAAAAGATGCAATGCTAGCTGAAACAATGGTTGCTGCCTTAAAAATAGAAAAATAATAGATGATTTACATGTAAAGATAAGTACCATTTAAAAAGAGGCTGCCCTAAGAAAACTTTAAAAAACCTCCAAAAATCTGCCCTTACTGCCGTAGAAAAATGCATTGGGCCGAAGAGTATAAATCTAAATTTGCTCTTAAAAAAAAACCTATTCCGGGAAACTCCAAGCAAGAGACCTCCCAGGTCCCTTTCAACAGAAACCAGGGACAAATTCCATCTTTCCCTCAAACCCTCAACATGCGGCAGCGCTGCCCTCGATTACACCAGCCCTAAACTCCTTTACCCTCAAAGCAGTCCTCCCTAGAATACCTACTAGACTTTCTGGGACCCTGCCCCCACAAACCTTCAGTCTTTTATTGACTGATCTAGTTTGACTTAACAGACAAAAAAAGGGGGAGTTTCCAAATGGAAAAAACAGGCTGTCAGACATTTTTATCTCTCTTAAGCAGCAGAAAAAAACAAACTAGCGATATATATTTTTTTTTCTTCTCTCTACAAATTTAAAGAGGTTTCTCCTGAAATACTGTGTTGCCATAATGACACCTGGTTTCACTTAAACTTAACTTTTCTCAAACCCTGAGTTAACCAATGCATTTTTCTTATGAAAATGTTTGTCTTAAGCTATGTTAATGCGCTATACATTTACCCCAGTCTTCAAGCTGGTTCTGCCTAAGACTCAAAACAGACTTGACAAACCAGCATGTTTTACTCTTGCAAATGTTCTCAAGATATGTTAATGAAACTGTATTTGCTTGGAAACCTGCCTTTACACTAAATTTCATTCTGCTCAACAAAATAAATTATATGCTCTTATTCAAGTTATTTGTCTATATCCTTATCCCATTAATATAGTCTCTGATTCTAAATATTCATTTTTTGTATTTAAAGATATAAAAAGTCCACCATAAACTCCTAGTTCTATTAAAACAGACACTGGGAAAAAAATAAATAAATAAAATAAAACAGACACTGGCCCTGCCTATATTTCTAGATACTTTAAACAATTTTTGCAATCTTTTTCTATTAAACATGTTACAGGTATTCCTTATAATCCACAGACATGAGACAGAGTCGAACGAACACATCACACACTAAAGTTACAAATAAAAAAATTAAAGAAGGGGGAATACACATGTACACTACTTATCTAAAGCAGACTTTACTAGATTCCAACATAAGATATTTTCTAAACCCATAACTATTGTTAATACAGTTTTATTTGTTTTAAATTTTTTAAACCTACCACAGGGAAATATTTTAACAAAAGAAAGACTTCGAGGAATTAAAGGACCCTTCTCTTCCTCTGCCCATTTGGGACCAAGACAGGTTCAATAAACAATAGAAATTTGAGAAATTAATCTTACGGGGAAAGGGATATGCTTCATTTCCCCAGGTGGATCCAACAAACTTTTTCCTCAGAAAATTCGACCCAAGGGGGCCCCCGACATTCAAAATGGAAACAACAAAAACCCTGGGAGGAAGAAGTTCCAATACAGGCCATGGCTGCTCTAAAGATCTCCAGAAAGCACCCTCAGCAACATCAACCCTATGATCTCCCCACTTGGGGACAAATAAAAACCCTCACTAATCAAGTTAAGAATCTGATTTCTCAACAGGGAATACCTCAGAGTCCCGAAACCTTATCACTATGCTCGTAGGCCTGCGACCCCGGCTCAAGCCGGATTAACTAATTTACTTACCCAACCCCCCTTTATCTCAGGTCACAAAATGGATGGAGAAAAGAACCAGCTAACAACCAATGACTGCACCCACATGCCCCCTCCCTGGAGCCCTCACACCGTGGAAAGGAGGGAAAACTAATTAACATTTCTTTAGGTTATGAAGTCCTTCCTTTGTGTATGGGCCCAGGAAAATTATGCATAAACGTCGGCCTACAAACTTGGGCTTTCGTCCTGCCTCCAAAAGAAGACTTTCGGACATTGCTGCCCTTTTTCTGTCTGTGAACCATGTTTACTACTGAAACTTTAGGGAAAGAGTTAGGGAAAGAACAAAAAACATTATGTAAAAGGTTACTAACACAACGTTGAAACATTACCATGACAAAGGACTTCTTGGCTGACATCCTCCTCCTCCTCCTCGAATCATCCTCAATAAACAAATTGGGCCTGAACTAGAGACATATAAAACATATGGAAACTTGCTGCCAGCATCAAAGGGGACTCGGACTGGAGATTTCAGAGACCAGTCGTGGTCATAGTAACTATTTCTTTCGCTATAATCAGTCATACTATACAGGCCTGTGTCCCACTTCCTTTTGTTATAGCCATAAGAAATTTACAACTTGATCTGTAACTTGTATTAATTGCCAATTTTGTGATACTCCTGTTTAATTCAATCATAGTACCTACTATTGGGAACAAATCAAATGTCATTTACATGATAATGACTCTCTGAATGTACAATTACTGCAAAAGAAAATCTTTTGAAACTTTTTCTAAAGGTCTGCCCTCTTCCACTAACTTGGAAACTTCAGCTGAACAAATTATCCAGGCTAGACCCACAGGATGGTTTCAAAGTATTACCCACAGCATCTAAAACTAACTTTGGTGATTGTCTTGATAATTGTATTTGTTGTTTATCATTGCCTTTCTATAACAAAACTCATTTGGTCAAGACCTTATTTTTTTACAAATATATTAAAATAGGGGGAATTGGCAGGAAGCATTTTTGCTGTTTTGTATCCGTCAGGAACCCTCTGGCCCTTATAGATTCTCCTGAATATTCAGGAATTAAGAGGAGAGGCACGCCTTTCCGGGGGCTGAGGAATCCAGGCATTTCTCATTCCAGTGATAAGTACCCTCTTCCTTTTTAGGAGCCAAATTGTAAAAGGTGATAATTTGCAACTCTCTCTCTTTGATAGGGATCATCTTATGTTTTGTAAGTCTGGAATTTTAATCTTTGTCTTTGCTGAGAATAACCACCTGGTAAGACAGTATATATGCCCATGCCATGTTGATTAAAACACCTTTGCTCCATCAGAGCTTTGGTCTTTCTTTCTCGCTCTCTCTCCTCTATTTCTGGCTAATTCATTGGAGCACGGAGGCCCGCTGAGCTCACTTTCTTGCCCGGGCTTCTAAGACCCTCTCGAGAAGGCGCCCTGTGCCTTCTCCCACTCGAGAGGGTGCCCGGTGCCTTTCTAAGACCCTCTCGAGAAGGCGCCCTGTGCCTTCTCCTACTCGAGAGGGCGCCCGGTGCCTTTCTAAGACCCTCTCGAGAAGGCGCCCTGTGCCTTCACCCACTCGAGGGGGCGCCCGGTGCCCACGCGCAGCAGCGCGAACCCTCAGAACAGGGCTCTATTGGCTCTCCGCGTGAACCAGGGGATGTCAGCCTCTTTCCCTCTGCCAGGTTCCAGTCCATCAAAGGACCAACACATACCCAGGGGCGCTGCCCTGAGACAAGGACCACACATTTCACCACCACTTCACCCTTCCAACTAAATGGAGTCTTGATGTCACACTCTTAAACGTTTTGGGTCAATCAGACAAGGTTTGGACTTTCATTCAACCAGCATTCATGACAAGTCCTGGGCTGAGTTCTTCACTGATGACAAAAGACAGAGCCCGTTCCCGCCAGGAGCTCATGACATTGGAGGAAAGAGAATAAGCAACCGCAAAACTGAGAGACAACAGATAGGAGCAGTGGAGTCAGGGCAGGTCACAGGGATGAGGACCTTGAGAAGATGAGCTGGATTCAGTCAGGGCTGGCGGAGGCCAGAGAAGAAGGAAGATGGGAGTGTATTCCCAGCAGAGGGAGGGGCCCCACAAAGGTGCAACGTGAGAGGTGACAGGGAGCAGCCAGGGAATTCTAAGCACTCATCAGATATGTAAATGAAAATTAGAAAAACATTCTGTAAACATAAAGCAAAGCATAAAAAAATATTTTTAGGGCTCTGTTTGGAATAATACTGATTCATAAAGTCTGGCCTGATACATGTACACTCAACCTCTATAATCTACCCATCTGTGCTATGTAAGTTATAGTTTCAATTTAAATATAATTTTAAATGCTAACATCCTAAATCATTGCTCATTTGGGATGTATGGTATTAAGAAATACTTGTTATTTAATTTCTATATAAGTAAGAAGCATATATATTTATTCCTTTACTCAAATGATGTCTCTCCTATTCTACTTAACCTTCCTGCCACATGTATAAAGTGTGAACTAAAAAGTATTTAAGGTCACTTTAATCTGAAAACTTCCTGATTTCTAAACCACTCAGTAATATGAAATAAACCAGAAAATACGTGTGTGTACAAAAACTTACCTTCTCAAATTGGTGATAAGGTCTGCAAAAGACTTTTCCCAAGCATACATTTTTATTATTCTGATGCCAGTTATAACTTCATTCATGGTCCTGATCCTGGTATCTGTGAAGGCTGCAGTCTTACTCCTAAGGGGACAGATGTGAGAGATGAGCCTTGATCACAGCAAGAATTTCCTTACCGACAGCAGCAGGGGCACAGCCAAGCACCAGGGATCAAGTGATTCCCTGCAGCTCTCCTAAGCTGACAACACAGGCAGGTCCTACTCAAAGAACAAACGGAGGAGGAAGACTTCAGTTAGGAAGTCAACCATTCAGCCCACTTCAAGAAGTAACCTGGAGAACTTACAGTACTGGCTAAGGAAGACCTGAAATGAGTTAGATAGTCGTGGTTGAGTAGAAAAGTCAGAAAGACACCCAAATCTAACAGGAAGACAGTGTCAGTGATGTAACAAAATAGGAGTAAAGTGCTGGGGAGCAGAAAAGATGGGGTTGTTAATGGCACTGGGAAAGGAGAGCAAGAAAAGCTTCAGTGACCTGGTAGCACTGGAACAGGGCCTCGAAGGATAAGGAACAGCTTTTCACAGCAAAGGTAGGAAATGAAATTCCAAGTAGAGAAAAACACAACATGAAAAAGTATACACACACACAAAAAAACTTAAATGTGCTTCAAATAACACAAGATCTCCATCACCTGACAACCTAGACAATGATCCACCTCCAACCTTCTGGGACCTGTTTCAGCTCTAATTCATCACCATTAGGTCCTTCATCACCAGTCTCTTTTGTTATCACAAACACTGCCGAGACTGTGGTACTTTACAAAGTCATATTTAAGATTGATCTCACTCTGTGGGTGCTGATAACGTTATATTAAAAACAAGATACAAACATATACACACCTGAAAATGGCTCTAACAGAAGCATAACAAAAATATGTGCATCTGGAACTCGGCCTCTAAGGCTATTACTATTTAACAAAGCTTAAATAACATCATTTAAGGCACATTCTGCTTAAGGACACTCTACTTATTCAGGTTTGGTGCCTGGAGGAGCCAGCAAATGACTTCAAGCAAATGGTAGATGTTAACCAGTTACATATTAACAATTTTTTAAACCAGTCTCTCTCTTACCGGAGTGATGAAAACAACTTCCCGATGCAGCTTTGCAAAGGCAGAAGAACAATGAGAACCGCCATCCCAGCAAGACATGATATTCCTATTTCCATCCAGAGCAGGGCGGTCACTACGATAGCCTGCAGTGGCCCTGCCCACAGAAAGTGCAAGAATATCGTTACCTTAAAAGAAAAAGACAAAGCCTTCTTAGGACTATACAAAAACAAAACCTATAAAGACACAATTTAAAATAATCTCCTGTCAAAGAACAGATGGGGACCTAAACAGAAATGATCACAGTGGGTTTTAAACCTGCTAAAGCAGAAATCTAAGCATCAGCCCGAGATGATGCTTTCCAGGGCAGCACAAGGTCAGCTGCAGGAATGTGCAGGGAGAAGTTGACTGGCAGCCCCGGGAAGATTTCCATTTTGCCTACCCCAGAGGTGAGCTTAGGGTTTCCCCAAACTCTACTTCAGAATTCAGTTCTTGTGTCCCCTCCAGCTGCCCGGCACCCCAGTAAAGTCTAATTCCCCCACACTCTCCAGTAATTATTTGTGTATTTACCTCCCTAACAGGTTGTGGCTTTTCCAGGGCAAAAACTAAATCTTATTCATCCGTAAAACTGAGTAGGGGCCTCTGTTCATGTTTGATGAATGAATAACTGCAAGCGAAGTGTCTAATGCAATACAGATTTGACTAGAAGCTATAATGCCCTGGGTGATGTGATCTATTCATAAAGTGCAAAAACAGATTGTAATGGGACAGTGGAGAGTAGGTTGTATCTGGCTGGGGACCAGCCAGCTGGCATTATTCCTCACGGGCTCCCTATGCAGCAGGCACTGGACAGGGCACAGGGGAAAGAACAACCCCTGCCCACCAGGCCTTCATCACCTCGAAGAGGAGGAAGACAGTTCAGGCAGCAAACTGACACCATGTGCCACGAAGGGCCACGCCAGAAGGACCCCTAAGCAAGGGTGACACTAACCAAGCTGGGCAAGAACTCTGCTGCCTGTCTATTACTGAAGCATGTTGTACACAATGTCAGAAAAACAAAATTCTCATCTACAGGGCAATACACACGATTACATCCAAGTTGAACACAGAGGAAATGAGTTGGACAAAGACAGCCCTTGTCTTATGTCCTCAACAGAAGGCTGACAGCAAACCCTAGAACCTGGCATCCCAATAAGCTGAACGCAGTGAGAAGGATGGAAAACGGAAGAGGATCCCTTGGGCAGCTTACCTGATCAAACTTGTTCACATCGTTGGACAGCAGATTGACTATCTGGCCTGTGGTGGTCTTCCCCATGGCCGAGTTACTCAAGCGAAGGGCCTGAAATGAAAAAAGGCAGAATTGGATTCCTGTGGTGATACCAAGTCACTCTTGGAATGTAACACAACAGAGCATGTTTTGATGTGGTCTTGAGCCATGTCAGGTTCAGGAGTATGACCCCTGACAGCGGGGCTCTAGGGGCCCATGTTTGTCCTTCAACCCCTCAATGTGTTGACAGCCATGTCCACAAAGACAGCAAACAGAAATACAATCTCAAACTTTGTCTTTTTCTTGCCTTTTTTTTTTTTTGGATAATTTTGGACATGGGCAAAATATAAACGGATATATTAATAAGTTCATACTTACTTTTTGAAGGCAATTTTACATACAAATAAATGGTAATTTTTCATGCAGAAAACACATAGTTTGAAGAAGTAGATATTTGATCCCTGATTTTAACCACTAAAAGAAGGCAGAACCGCACACCAACTCTGACTTTAAACTGATCATCAAAGGGAAAAAAAAACAAATCAACCTAATCGGAATTGATGGACGAAAAGGCTGGTTTTGGAACACAAGTTAACATGAAGCAATTATAACATTGCAGCCAACATAGAAATCAAGAGTCAGTCACACGAGAATCACTCAGATGCTACACAGGATAAAAAAAACAGAACATGATGTGACAGTAGTATTACTAATGAGGAAGACATGACTTACAAGCAAATCTGCCCAGATTTATGCTTCCAACCATGAAAGAATAATGGGTACTGGACTTGCCCTCCATTGCAAAACTATGAAGTTGCATAAAATATACGAAGCACTTGTTTTCAGGCGGTGAAAGACCAGCAGTGCAGGACTGTGACCCCCGGGAAGAAGTGTGCCCTATGACTGGCCTGTTTTCTACCTGGGGGTATATTGTGCCCAAGTAGAGTTAAAGTGTCACTGAACTGAAGAAGAAGAAATGGATGTTGTAAGTTGCAGATATGGCTGGAGTTTGGGCAGGAATAGCAGAGGATCTTGTGGAGATTCCTGAAGGGGCCTGGCCAGAAGCTCACTGTGCGTGAACAGACGCAGACGCCACGGGCCGCGGTGAGGTCACTCAGCACCAGGAGACTGCGGACTCTCCCCAACGGCAGGAAAGAGATCTTCCTGATGAACACCTCAGACACTCACTTCAGCTGTCAGGAGGGACGTGACTACAGTAAGAACCACGGACTTGGACTAAGTTCAAAATGGAAATAACTGCCCCAGACAAACAGAACCAATCTAACAGGAATTCCATATCAGAACAAAACTCAATATCATCTAATTCAAGGCTTGTTGTTTTTCAGTCACTGTCGTGCCCGACTCTTTGTGACCCTGTGGGCTGTAGTCCATGGGATTTTTCCAGACCCACCAAATAAAACATAATTCTCAACTTCTAGGTACTGTTTTTAATTCGGTGCACACACTGCTCCCCATTAATTACAGAAAATTAATCTTCAGTTCTAATAAAGTGTGTGCTCAGTTGCTTCAGTCATGTCCGACTCTTTGCAACCCTATGGACTGTAGCCCACCAGGCGCCCCTTTCCAAGGAATTCTCCAGGTATTCTCAAGAATACTGGAGTGGGTTGCCATTCCCTCTTCCAGGGGTCTTTCCGACCCAGGGATCGAACCCGAGTCTATAGGAAGGACATGCCTCTAAGTAAAAACAGTTCACATCCAGTTTAGAGAAAACAACATACAAATTAATGCTATTATTTTAGTTCTATATTTACTCAACATGTTACAATGGGATATTATCAATATTTGGTTAAATTTGTTTTCCTTGTGGAAGCAAAATAGTTCTACCATGAAAACAATAAAAGGCAAACAAACTGGATCAAATTTGCTCTGTAAGTCAGACCCTAAATTAGTAAGTTAATTAATAAGTTATTAACATTTAAATAAATCAAAAACATCTAAATATTGATTAACAATTATAAAATCCTGCCAATTTTTTTAAGGGACAAAGAACATGTGTTGCAGGAAGGGGGACCCCTTCCAGGGCCTGAAACTGGGCTCTTATCTAACACTCAGAAATGAATTGTCCGAGGAGACACATGTGCTGACAAAGCAAGAGATTTTATTGGGAAAGGGAACCCGGGTGGAGAGCCGTAGGGTAAGGGAACCCAGGAGAACGGCTCTGCCGCGTGACTTGCAGTCTTGGGTTTTATGGTGATGGTATTAGTTTCCGGGTGGTCTTCGGCCAATCATTCTAATTCAGAGTCTTTCCTGGTGGCCCACGCATCACTCAGCCAAAATGGATGCTAGCGAGAGGGATTCTGGGAAGTGGACAGACACGCGGTGTCTCCTTTTGACTTTTCCCAAACTCTTCTGGTTAGTGGTGGCTTATTAGTTCCGTATTCCCTAACAGGATCTCCTGTCATGAAACAACTCATGCAAATGGTTACTGTGGTGCCTGGCCAGGGTGGGCGGTTTCAATCAGTGTGCTTCCCCTAACAATTCCCTTGAAGCAGGGATCCATTTATGGGGAGGTGGAGGGTAGGGAGTAGAGAAATTACATATGGGACAATTAAGAGACTCTATAATCTAGGCCAAAACATAAATTTTGTTCAACTTTTTAAAAAATACAGTGCAAGAAATATTAGTCATTCCATTTGAAAAATAAACAATGTCTCTTTTCTCAACTGTTTTGAATCAGATGTGAAACTCCATAACCCATGTATGGACACACAAATATCACCATCAAAGGAGCAGAGGAGAAAAGAATGTTCTTTGCACGTGAATTGAGTTTTCCAGACTAGTGAAAGAATCCAATGTTCATTTTAACAGCATCTCCCCCCAAACCCTGCTGCGGTCGGCCTTTAAAACCAAAGACGAGAACTCAGTTCATCATCTTAATGCTGCACTCTCATCACCAGCAAGACTTATATCCAGTGCCGATGACCCTCAGTGCATAGAAGCGCTTCTGTCCCACAGAGTGCTCCAAATGGCCATGCCTTTTGGGTTTTTCATACATTATAATTCTATCTTTCCCCCCGCCATCAGGTTATCCCTTCAACTGACTAGCTCACCATTACCTACTGCTATTTCTAAACTGGGTTCTGGCATTGTAATATCATAAGTGAATCAGGGTAGCAGACCCTGAGCTTACTCAGGACCTAAAGGACTAGAATAGAAAACCTAAAGGACTCAGAATAGAAAACAGACTCAGGCACTCGTCACTTATTTTGCATTTGGCTTATTTCCTGGTTCATGGCCCTGCCCCCCAGAGCTGAGCATATCAGATAATGGGAATTGTTCCACCAGGCAACTAGGCTGAGAGTATGTTTAGCTCACCTGAAATAGAACACTGCTGTATTTTTCCCAGAGTGTTACCCAGAGTTGCTTAGTAATGCTGTCATATCTGCTTTCAAGATTGCATAATCTAAAGCCATTCATTTCTGCTTTTGAGGGGAGGATGCAGAAACTGCCTAATATCTTCCACCAGCATGAACATAATGGGGACTATTAAACTAATGAGATTGCCATAAAACTAATCATATTGCCGCTATGGTTGTGCAGATAAAAAAACTGACTGCAGGAAATAAAAAACAAAGTCAATACAAGATCAACCACCTGCTGTTCTCTCATCTGACAACTCCACTGCCTTTTTCTTGTTGCTGGCCTGATTTTCCATGGCTGGCAAAAGCCAGCACAACTACTCAGCTCTCTGCAAGCTTTGAAGGATGTGGCAGCTAGCTTCTGCAAGTACCATTAGCCTTCGTCTAAATCCACAGCACCTGACTGAAGGCACCAGAATGCCACGTATACAGAGCTGATAAGTGAGCCTCTGAGCATGAGAACCAACATGTGGACTCCAAGCACTGCTGGCTTTCCTGGTGGCTCAAAGAGTAAAGAATCTGCCTGCAATTCAGGAGACACAGTTTCCATCCCGGAGCTGGGAAGATCCCCTGGTAGAAGGAAATGGCAATCCACTCCAACATTCTTGCCTGGAAAATCCCATGGACAGAGGAGCCTGGTGGGCTACAGTCCATGGGGTCGCAAAGAGTCGGACACAACTGGGCAACTAACATTTTACTTTAAGCACTACCGGTGGGTGGAAGCCCCTGATATCCACTGTGAGGTCAGGCTAAGGATGTGAACCCCTCAGGAGGAATTTCTGCATATTCTCAGACCTCATCCTCTCCAAGGGCTTTGAGTTGCTGAGATGATCCCCTGGGAACTCCCCCCACCCCCCACCAGCCCCTGGCCTGGGATCAGGGAACTTTTGCAGCAATGGGGAAAGCTCACACCTGGACACACCCCTCCTATAGCTACAAAATACAAAGAAACTATATGGGGCTAAAAATAACTGTGCACATATGCAGTTGGGGCAAATTCTAGACCAAAAGATACAAAAAAGACAAAAAGAACCAACTGCTATTTCTGAAGAGCTGCGACCTAAACCAAAGGTGTGGCAAAAACAGTGCCCCTGCTTGCCCCCCAACCTCCCTCACTCAATACCACAAAAGGATAGGCAAACCACCTAAACTACCCCTCCAGCCCGATCCCTGACCCACCACAACCCTCACCTCATACAAGGAATGAGCTTGCCCTCCTCAATTTGGAGAGAAGAAGAGAACCTGTTTACTTGTTTTCCCTCCTGCAACCAGTGCAGAAGAGCCTTCCCTGAATGTCTCGTGTGGCCTTGAGGAAATTTCTCTTGACTTGGGGAAGACCAAGAGCCCTGGTTGAGATCAAGGTGAGCTAGGGCAACAAAAAGGAGGAAAACCACAGAAAGGGTAGAAAACTCCACAATGGAGAGAAAGGAGATCCAAGAACATGCATAAATATACATTTAGGGCTCAGCAAGAGAAGACAATCTAAATGAGAATACGAATCAATCAATCTATCAACATTTTTCTTTAATGAATCATGTTTCCCTACATCTAAAAAATAATAATCTATCTTCTCAAATGGAATGCTCAGTGGTAAGAATTTATACAAGAGGCCATATGCTGTCTTTTCCAGCAACTAAACTAAGAACCATCTTTCCAATTATTTTATTGCTAGTATGCCTCCTTTCAGATCAA